GGCCCACTTAATTATTAGAAAAGTAAAAATGAGCAATGAGACAGATCCGCTCTCATACCCATCCATTCTCGAGACGCCGATGTGGCGAGTGTACCCTACTGTGACAGCTCCGAGAAAAATATAGGACTAGTATTTTAAAATTATCCCGCTGATGTACAGTTTACAAAACTAGATACAGTACAGACAGAGGCGTGTTTACTCACTTTAAGGACATCTTTACAGCTGCTGCTCTGTTCACAATCCAACTTCAACCTGAGTTAACCTGCCGAACTGGCTACAGCTCGCAAGTATCCTGCCTTTCCAGCTTTGTCACCGCAGAACCTGCTCAAATCAGACTGCAAGAGGGGAGTTACAGAACGACCCAAGACATTAGTTTTGCTGGCCTTGCTGCAGCACAGCCTTTCACAACACTACTTCGTTTTCACAAGGTGAAAAGTAACGGTACAGAGACCAAAGCTCAAATCTTCTCTCCATATCAACATAAGTCTTCAGCTCTGCCTGTCAGTCATTTTTATCACACTTGTTTTATAGCTATTACCTTTTACACCATTACACGTCTTGTTTTGTCATTGGTGACTCAGCAGCTAACCGATGATAACGCAGAATATGGAGATTGAAAGTGGTTGATGCAGAACAATGGATAAATAGTACATTTATCACTGGGCATTTCATCTCTGGGTAAATGCATTTCAAATAAAGACGGACTGTATAACTGTTTATGCGGTTTTTGTCCCCTTCTATTTAAAACACACATGTTGCAAACCCTTTTAAAAAATTAAGATTTCGACATTAACACATTTACAGTATTTAGACGTCCCTCTGAACAATTCCAAAGTGATTAAGAAGCCAGCATCAGTACTTCTTGAATGTCTGAAGTTTTTTGTTTGTTTGTTTCAAATACAGCATCTAGCCGGCTTTTAAGGTGGGATTTCAATAGCTATATAAAAAGGTAACATTAATAAATCAATTTTAAAATCTGATCATCCCCAGAGTGCCAATGAGTTTTAAAAATCGCTTATATAACACACCTGAATAAAAAATAAATTACATGCGAGTTACACAACACCGGTGAGTTTCAGAGAGAAAGATGGTCTTGATTGTACTTCACATCTCCAACTACAGCACTCTTTATTCGAATACGTATAGGATATTAAAATGTTCGTTTTTACAAAGTAAATGTGTATGCACAAGCACCGGACAAAACATATCAACGAAACAAAACCCCAAATTCTCTCTATTCTCCAGCTGGTAACAAGAGGCCTGTATTTCCCTGTGTCACTACAGGATATTCACGTCTGCCAAATAGTCACCCCCTCAGAAACACACAGCTCACAAAAGCGACCTGAAGGCAAATCCACTTCCTGCAAAAAAGGGGTCCCACGCCTTTCATTTTCTTACCGGCGGCGTATGACACCAGATTTGCAGCTGGACCAAAGCAAGAAGCCATACTCAACCTTCAAAGCCACCGGCGAGCACATTGCACGGTTTGAAATCTTTGACCGAGCTGGCTGTTACAAATTCGCGTGAAAGTGACAACACGGCAAACATGCCACATCACGCCTCACATGAACCGCACGCAATGAGAGATCGCCCGTCGGGTGCACACCCCGTTGCCTTTCTTCACGTGTAAAAGCTGAGGACGTACAAGCTGGGTTTGTTAAAGACCTGTGGTGCCCCGACCTTTGCCTGTGGTCTGCAGACGCCCGGGTGTAGCTGCTGTTTGTCGAGGGCCAACTTTCAGATCTTCACACCAGGAAATCTTTCCAGCTGAACTGGACGTGGCAAACAGAGCCGCGCAGCCGCAGTGCGCCTCCCCCGGTCTCCCAGACTTCAAAGCGACAAAGTGATCCAGGAGTCTCGCGGCTTGCGCAGGCTTTGCAGTCGGGAGCGCTCTGCGCGGGGGGGCTGACACATTTATAGATACATCCTGTACTCGCCTTCGCCTCATTAAAAAATCAAAACAAAACAAAAAATAGTTTTAAAAGAACACGCCCAAAGCGGGTGATCGATTACTTTTGTTTATACTGAAGTCTCTTTTTTTTTTTCTGAGGTGTTCAGCCCAAAATGAATTTAATTGCGGAAATGTTTATAACTAATGTTTGTCGGTCGTATCATAACTTTTACGGCTCTATTTGTTCCAAGAGGTGATTTTTTTAAAAGTCTGTGATATATTTTACAGTACTATTAACCATTCGGAAGTGGTACAACTGATTATATTCAGTTCTGGCTGAGCAGTGTTGTCAAAGGCTGTTTTGTATAATGGCATTGTTATGTTGTTGCGTTGTATTATTGCCCTGTATGTGACATGTTTATTAGCTTTTGATGTGCAAGACAAATTCCCTCAGGGCCAGTAAAGGTTAATTCATTATTTTGAGTCAATACTACAGGAACTGTGACTTTTCTCTGCACAGAACCATGTGTAACACTAACACAGAAAGGGGCTTATGGACATGGCCAGATTGCAGTGGAGCCAGGGCCCAACTCAACAACTCAACAGGCACAAGGCAGGATACACCCTGGAAGGGACACAAGTCCATCAGGGGGCACACGCTGATACAAAACACACACACTCACACCAGGGACCACTTTCCTAGATGCCAATGAGCCTACCAGCATGTCTTGAACCCAGGGCCCCAGCACTGCGAGGCAGGAATACAAATCACTGCTCCACCATGCCGCCCCCTAATAACCCCGTTCAAACACATAATCACAACATTTTAGGTCATCGGAGTGACCGCAAGAGGCGGTACTCAAAACTCTGTCATAGAATGGAATAAATGGGAATGGGGGTCAACCGAGGTCAAGGACTATGTTGACTTAAAGTCCGCCAGTGTGTCGGTGAGGCTGGTGCATTTGGCTTCCTTGTTCTGGGTCTTCCCATTGGTCAAAGGTCCTTGCCCAGACCCTTTAATTACCACCCAGGTGACGTGGGCTTGTGTGACAGGTCTGATTGGGCCTCCTCCTGAGGTGAGGGGGCGCTAGAGCAACCTATGCATACACAGTGCATCGGTACCCCTGGCCAACTGCCTACAGTGCATAGCCAGCAGCCCCTAGCAGTTAAAGCAGAACTGCACTGCTATTTTTATATTTTCTGTGTTAGAAAGAATCAGCGTCGATGAGTGCATTTCAGACCACAATGAGAGTAAAATGTGCACAGTGACTTGTAAAACCTCCAATTTCCATCACAAAATAGCCGAAATATCCAGGTATGCGCAGCGCCATGTTTTGATGTACAGTACCCAAACTTTCCGCTGACGTGACACCATCTTATTAATTGTAAACAGGCTTGTATTCACAAGCCTCTCTTTTAATCCAACGGAGGTGTTGCTCTCAACTTCGAGACGGTTTTGCCCTCAAATACTGTACAACTTACTTGTTAACTCTGCATGCAGATAATGCTGGAACATTTCTGTGGTGAAATGTCTGCTGCACAACCTGTCTGTGTCTGGGGATGCTTGTATATGACAGGTAGATTGATAAACTGTAATCAAAGGTGTAATTATGGAGCACAGCTGTATAGTATGGTCTGTGGATGCACTGGTGGTTCTGGGAGATAAAAAAAACATGTCTCTGGAGATAAAAAGGGTCCTGGAAACCTTAAAATTCTTAGGTGGCGCAGTCAGCTACAAAGCAAAAGCCCTACATTTAAAGGTGACAGTAATAGTGCAGCATATCCCTCTTCAGGTAAGACAAAATACCACTCACGAAAAGTTTTATTCTACATAATTACAGTAAACAACTAACAGCAACTCTGTCCATTTGTTTATAAACTTTTTCCTAGAAAAGGCTAAGGACAAACATGATTTAAATAGATATTTCAAAATGTTAAAACATATTATTATATATCTTTCTTTTTCTTAAGCACTCAGTAAGATTTTCTTAAAACAAACACTTCATATTCACTATGTGGTACATGAAACTTTAATTGCAAAAAGTAAGAGAGCACAGACAAGAATAGTTCTATTGCATATGATGGAAAATGTTAAATAATTTATTACAGTTAACAGTGTCTGTAGGTAGTCGAGAGACATACGGGCTTTAGGAAGTAAATAAGAGAATATACTCAGCTAAGAACTGTCAGCTCCAAATCAACACACTTAGTTTTTTTAAAGAAAAAAAGGGGGGAAAGAGATACTTAAACAACAGAATTTAGAAAACAGAAGTAAAAGAAGTATCAGTCTTCCTGTATCTTCCCACATAACCTCGATGTTTGTACTTCAAGACGAACGTCTTTGAGTGCAGGTGAATTTCAGGAGTGGGGATAGAATAAAAGATGTCTGAC